ACATATTTGGCCTACTAACTTGTTCATTGTTCCATTCAACGTCTTTAGTTGTTTGGCCATGTTGTCATAGTGTACATTCTCATTTTGTGTAAATCTTTCCATATTATGAATACTTCAAAAATTTACCTGTTCAACGACGTCTTGTGTGAGTTCTCCAAGTAATGCACGCATGGTTCGAGGACTCAACTCCGTCATTGGTTCGTAACGACTGTTACTGCTCTGATTTTGTCCATCTGTTCGTGGAGAGGCATGTTGCTCCTCATATCGCTCGATTACAGACTGGATTCCTCCCTGACTTGTTGCTTCCTTATCGGATCTCTGAGGCATATTGTTTCCCCTTTTGTACTTTCAACACCTAACACCACTGTCCCACCGGCCGTGCTAAATTGTTTCGCGCGGGTTAGTCGCTAACAATTAAAAGGGATCAAACGATTGTGTAAGGAACAAACCTCTTGAGACAAAGTCCCAAAAAGGAGTGTTCTTTTATTGGCGATAACTTTACAATTGGAAATGAAAAACAACGTGCCGCCAAGGGGCGCAAGCACACGAGTTACTGAAAGAAAAGTGTTTAAATCTAAAAACTAAGGAAATGAAAATTACATATTCTCTGTTTTAGAGTTTTGGATTCGGTCCTTTGCTTCTATGTCCTTTCTCCCTTTTATACTTCATAGACGATCTCTTTGTGATTAACTACTCTAAAAACTGCTTGATCATCCTATAACTACCCACTTTCTTCGTAGTGGCCATTTTGTCATGAAAACTGCCTTTTAACTGCTGCCATTACCTTTCATCTTTCAACCGCTTTCGATTGAATTCCTTGAATCGTGGAACGTGATAAGGCTGCTTTAACAACTGTTTTGATAACTGCATTTCTTGATAACCACGACGCGTTATGTTTGTTGATACCTTGGGCGACTTGAAGGTTTGGACGAGAATGGAGTAACAGCTCTGGGCGACCGTATGACACTCTATTCGTTCAAATTCTGGGCGACTTGCAAACTTGGGCGATGGCGTTACCACATTTTTGGGCCTCCTTATTTGGGCCTTCATATTGATTTGTTCGATTGGGTTTCGTTCTTTGGGCTATCTGATTTGGGGATCCTCCAATTGGGCTTCACTCCTTGGACTGTTCGATTTGGGCTGAATTTTTATGTTTCAACAGTCTGACAGCATGGAATTGGAGCCTTGGCAAAATCATTTCTGAATCTAATGCTGCGGCTAGAATTCATTACAACCAAGTAACATTCTATACAAGTTCAGGTCTTATCAAGATACCAATACCCCGGAATGGTAAGAAATTAACTTTTTTCTACCTTCTAACTTGTTATTTATTAGATCCATGCTCTAAGCAAACAAGTAATTGAACAACAATTAATATATAAGAGATAAAAGATAACAAAACATAATATACCAGAATATATACAAAGATATAAAACAAAGATCGCTCCTTTAGTCAACATACTTATTTCTCAAGAATAAATTACTGTTAAGAGAGATGCTACAAGTACAATGATGGTTAAGAAGATTTGTTGACAATCATAATTTGGCATATCATATTCATCCATTTCAAAAATTATCTTTTTAAATCAACTGTACCGATTTTAACGCATCAAACATTGTCAACCATCATTATACAAGTATATTAATTCTTACTGAAGTTCTTGCCCACAATGTAGCCAAGTAGGTCCATACTTCTTGCCAAACATTTTTTTATGTGCTCTGCTACATCCTTCTCTACATTATACTTCTCAAAAGCCTACACGCAAAAACACATAATTATATATGTGAAACTATATGTCAAAAACAATGCTTTTCAATAAACGGAAATCAAGATATTAAAAAAACACCCAAAAACAAGGAGCAAAAAATTAGTGGGCTTTGCTTATTTTTTTTTTCTTATTTTGAGTGAAATGAAAACAATTTACAACTATGACAATGTCAACAACTTCTTTCTGAATGTCCTCTTTAATGTCGACGCTCTTTATGATGACTTTCTTTCCGATGGAGGTAGACCCAGTTGAGGACTTCCAGTCTTCTTGGGATGCCAGTCTCCGCCGCCGCTTCTCTTTGACTCTTCGCTCATTTGATTTAATTTACTTGATTTCTGGTTCCAAAATTTTGAATTTTGGGTTTATTGGGAACTTTCGGTGGAGAGAAAAAAGACAGGTGGCAGCCGTGTACGTCTGTGGTCTTTCGAATTTGTAAAGGTTTTATTTGAAATTCTGATGACAATCTAAGCCCTTGTTTGAGTCCCTTTTTTTGAAAAATACATTTTTAAACAGTGTTTTGACATCATTTCAATGATACATGCTTCAATAAAATAATATTACACGAAAATCTAAAACTTTTCCTTATTTTTTAATCATACATTTCACATCATTACACTATTCAAAAATACATTTTCTTTGCAAAAATGGGACTTAAACAAGGGCTAATTCTTTCGGAGTGTACTGAGAATTCGAATTACTGTCTGACTTACTTTGGACGGCTTTGAAAGTTGTCTGAATATGGTGGTTAGGCTGTCAAATGTTGTATCCGTCGTGTTTGGCTAAGCTCAAAAGAAAATTAAGTTACAAATAACTTCTTATATTTTTATGTTATATATTACATGAATTCAAATCTCCATGAGCGGGTGGCAAAATAAAAAGTGAATTAAAATATCTCTAGTCAAGCATAACTAGATAATTAGGGATGCTAAAAAATCCGTTCAACCCGATATCTGTGAGACCCCGCCCCCAATCTTGGCGGGGATTACCCACCTAATCGGGTAAATGGGACGGGTACGAGGCGATGGTCATCACCCCAAAGCAGGTATGGGGTGGGTACGGAAATCATAATCCCCTAATCCTTGCTCATTTAAAGTTAGTTTCAAATTTAAGTTTTATCCAACAAAAATAATAAATTTATCATCATTTTTAAAAAGAATATAAGTCATTTTTAACAAATTGGTAAAAAAGTAATAATATTTATTAACTAAGAACATAAAAAAATAAAATAAATGGAGCAGGGGACTTGTTCCGCCCCACCTCGAATCCGTCCCGTCTTATTCTAATCGTGTATGAGTATAAAGTAAGATAACAAAATTTTTCGATGGGATGAAGATGAGGATGGGAATGATCGACCTGGCCCATTACCGTCCCTACATAGGACACAACTTTGCAGGTCACTTGATACCCATATCGACAAACAAAGTTACTTGCGACAAAATGTACATCCCTTAAAAGAGCCACAATATCATATAAAATAGAAATAAGCAAAACAAATAGAAAATCATCTTGTAAGTTTTGAATTGCCAGCAATGATTAACACTTGGTACTTTGTACTGTTGGTGCAATATAATAGTATTCTTAGTAAACCAATCTCATGAGCTAATAATGTAAGTCGTTCCCACAACTCAATGACTTTAGGTCATTTCCAACGCTGAATCAAATTTTACATCAAATCTTACACTAAATTAAAATTTATCTTCAATCATTATATCAAAACTTACACTAAATGAACAGTATTTTATTATTTTATTCATTCTTTCGATTTTTGACAATGCATTTATTTTTTAAAAAATATTTATTTAGTTTATAACTATATAAATTACTAAATCATAACTTCGTTAAATTAACAAATATATTGAATTATTATTGATTACTAAATTATTAACATGTTTTATATATTATGTTAAATTGATGAAAATAATTGATTATATTATTCATTTATCATAAACAATTACGTTAAATTTACAAAAATAATTACTAAATTAAAAAATCCTTAATTATTATTAATTGTATTGTTAAAAATAAGAAACTTTAATAATAATAATAATAATAATTATTATTATTATTATTATTATTATACGAAAATAACACATATACCCTTAATCATTATTTTTGAAAAATGAAAATGAAGGGCAAAACAGACATTGCACCATTTGGTGCAATGAACAATGTTGCACCAAAATGTTGAGAAAGTTGGAGGGAGGTTTGCACCAAATTTTCGTGCAATGGGACTCCCATTGAAGATGCCCTTAGCATCTTCTGATTTGCTAGGGCAACTACAACCTCCCCATGACAATTCCCATTGACAAAACCTAGGCTAATGTAACCACTCTCTCAAGCGGATCTAAGCGTTACTGATTAAGTGAATCCATCTCCGGTGCAATCCAACTTCTTGTCACCCAAGGAGCCCTAGCGACATCGGTATAGGCATAAACCTTATGAAGCTACTANACATTGCCCACACTAAACGCAAAATTTGTGCAATTCTTCAACAGAATACCCATTTGAGTTCTTGACCACCTTCTACATATGTCCTAAATATGGCTTGATAAGATGCCACCGTGAAGCCTTCTTCCGAGTATCTTTCACCAAAATGCAAGCGAATATTGAATGTGCCTTATTTTCTGTATATCTACTCCGTGCACATCACCCAGTATTCATTGTATAATATCTTGGCCGCCGAGGTTTGGTAGCCGTGGAGCTGAACTCTTATCAAAGATTACTTAATCGCAAGTACAACACAGTTGTTTCGTGAATCAAAGGAAATGACAAGTCACGGTTGAGATATGGCCTCAATCCAATGTTGCATAAGCATAGTTGTTTCTACTATGAATACAAAGCTAAATGCGATTTGGAAGGCTTGCATAATTCGAAAACTAACAAAACCATGTTGGCCATTTTCGACCAACACGTCCTAACTTTTGTCGTAATTTGATTGTTTTTACGTTGCAAACCGAGTCCGAGTAGAGTTCCTAAATGTACTCATTTAATGACTTGTAGATTTACAAGCTGCCCACTTAAGATCTGTTTGATGGGACTTTAGTTTTTTACTTCTGTTGCTTCTAAAAGATTACTTTTTTTGAAGAACTTTTTCCATTCAAACAAAAAACTACAAACAATTTATTCAAATGTTTGCAAAGCAACTTCTTAAAGTTAGAAGTCGTTTTTAACTTTTCAAAACCCTTGCAAAGTCGGCCTTGAGCCTTCAATGACTAATTTGGAATCAGAAAATTTGACATTAACCTCCAATAAATTATCACTAAAATGCAAACATACTAACCATATTCATAATCACACAAATAACCCAACAAACTGTAACAGTTTCAAATTCTCAAAACCAGACTTACCAAATAACATTAAAAGTTGTCTAAAAATAAAAATAAAACTAGAGAAAGTCATAGATTCCCCATTTTGTCCGCCTGTATTTTGGGGTCCAAAAACAATGGATTCTTGATAATGGGAAACCAAATCCCATGGGATCTGAAATAAACAACAAAACCTCTTTGGTTTCATTATAGGGAGCAAGAACCAAACCCAAAAGGTATGATATCATAGTCATAGCCAAAATGTAGCAAGCGCAAATGCGGAAAAATAACTTCAATATGCAATGGCATTTTCTCCATTTCTAGGCCCTTTGCCACTTCGATTCGTTGTCGAAGAAGAAGATGACGATGAGGAGGATGACGAGGACACCCGGGGCTTCAGAGAAGCTACTGAACAGTTGTCTCTTCTACTCTTCTTTACAGTTTCTTCTTCATCCATGAATATTTGCCTCCACCTGCACTCCACACTGCAAAAAGCTATGTCCCCTCTGCACCAAACGGATCGGAAAAAGTTCAAATCTTATCGAGTGTACTAGATTAAAAGAACATGCATTTTCTTTAGCATGTAACTAATGAGTAGGTTTTTGAGATTCATAACTTATAAATTAAAAGTTTACTTACTTGTACATGTAGATGTCTTTGCCAGGCATGAGTTTCTGTTTGCAGAGAAAGCAATGGTCAAGAAAATCAGAACTTGACAAAGTTTTTCTTCTTGAAAACCCGCTTGGAGCTGGAGTAGTTGGAGAAGAATTAAGTGGTTTAATCATTTTTCCTTTGCTAATAACTTCTGAAGTTTTTTTGGATATATTTTCTTGGGCTTCTAGTATTACGCTCAGTCCCACCATCTCATTAGCAGTGGCGGTACGGCGGCAGAAGTCGGAGGCGGTAGCGGACGGAGGAGGAGATTTTGGTGATGAAAAGAGGAGAAAGATAAATATAGAAGAACGGAGGATAGCTGTGAATGGTAAGTGGGGTTTGTTGAGTAAGGTGGTAGGGAAGGGGGAATTTAGCTAGAGGTTAACCAACTTATAAAGTTTGTTTCATATTGGGCATCAAACTTTCATTTATTTCAATCTGGTCACCTAACTTTTTTATTTCAATTTTGGTAACTGTTATCAAAACTGAGGACACTCGTGATCTTATCGATAGAATTTGTGACTTTATTAGTCGAAGACCTAACTAAAAAAACAGGCCCAATATTTATATATACTTCACCTTTTAAAAAAGGTGATATTGTATTTTTTTTAGCATTTAAAAATCGTGTTGCTATAAGTACAAGTGAAGTCACGAACTTTATTGATTAGGTTATGATTTTGTCGACTTTGGAAATGATTGTAGCTAGAAGAGTAAAATGGTTGCAAGAGTACAAGTTGTGCTACGAATTTTTTTAGTCAATTACAAATTCCGTGAATTCTGATAACAATAATAATTTTATGGATGATATACTACGTCCTTATTTGATTCTCTTTATTTCAAAATTCTTTATTTATCATATTCATTTTAAACTACACATTTACAAAATAAAATATTTTGCATATAAATTTAAAATTTTTCCTACTTTTTAACCATATATTTTTCAAAAAGTTACTATTCAAAATATTATTTTCTCCAATTTCTCTTTATAATGCCATCAAACAAGGGTTAAATTAAAAATAAATAAACTTACCGATAAGACTAAACAAATTAAAGTTGAGTTGTCAATATTAAACGAACATACAAATTGAATGACTCTAATGAAATTTCCTATTGTGGGTCCCATCAACAGTGACGTGGGGGTGGGAATGGCCCATTTATATAACTTGTAGTGCTTCTTAAAAGCCACGTACTCTTGTATAGCTATCAGTTGCAGCAAAAAAAATAAATAAATAAATAAAATTATTTGTGCACTTTTTTTGTCGTTTAGTGCAGTTTACTGTTTTACTTGATTATTTTTACGGTCATTAATGGCACTTCAATGCAATTGATTTGATGTAAGTGAGATGGTGAAATTTAATCTAAATGACATCGTTTGAAATTAGGCACCGTTCGATTGGCTTCGATTTCATGAAAATTGTCACATTTGAAAAATCTATTTTCTACTTTGATTGTTTAACATGAAAGTGAAAATGGTACAAACACTTAAAAAATATATTATTGGTCAATTGAGTGAAAAATGTATTCATATGATTTAGATGAAATTTTTTTTTTAAATTTACATGGAATTAGCATGTCTTTCTCATCTTTGCAATCAAACAGATCTTTAAAGTGGCATGCCTTCTACCCTATGGGCAAGAACCACTAGTTCTTTTGGGCTTGGTGGGTCGGGTCGGCCGAAAAACCGTTTAATTAGGTTTATATTTGGTATAAGATGAGTCGAGTTTAATCAAAAAATTGAAAATTAAACTAGTCAATTGCAATCAAAATCGATGGTCTCGTTTTAATATATTTTCAAGGTTTAAGATTTATCTTTTGTGTAGAGTGGGTGGTACTACTCTATGACTGTCGATATGTTTTGGTAAACTTGAAAAATATATGTAAATAAATAGATCGTGTTTGCCTATTTTGATGTTCATGTCCTAGATGACGTTTAACTTGATATTAGAACATATAAAGGTCCTGAGTTGAAATTTCTTCATTACATACTTACATAGAAATTTTGCACGAGTGACGCCTTTGATGAAAATCATGAATCTGATCTGCAATGAGTGAGGTAGCGTGGTGAAGATTAAGGTTGCCTAAATAATCTTGTCTGTTTTCTTATTTTGTTTGCTTTTGCAGGGTAAGTTTGACAATAGAGAGGTTATTCAATATGACAAAAACTTAAATTGACAGTTCAACCAAAAATTTGGATAAACATTGATTGAGTTCTGCTAGTAGCAAAGATCAACTATCAAAGTTAACACGATATAAAGCAATCAGAACGTTCGATTACGACTAGGAGTGTAATAGTAGTAGTCAAAGTTGAGTTTTCGATCCCTATGACTTTAGTTTTTCACAACTTTGTTGATAAATCGGTAGGAGTTCATACTCAACTTCTCTAGACTAAGTTGATTTTACGTTATTTGTTTAGTTTCTAGCACAATATCGTATGTAGATATTAGTTGCTTGTAAATTCCTAAACATAGTAAAAGAAAAAAAGAAAAAAAAGGATTAGGTATTCGAAAATAAATGAGTGATGGTAAAATATCATAGTCGATTTGATAATCAAGTGACATTAATTCTTCAATCCTATTTATGCAATTATGTAACTTGTGTGAATTAAGTTGGATTCGAAATTAACTCTTAAATGTAGTCGAGAAATATTTTTTCAAATGGGCACCTCTATAGATGCGAAAACATAATTACAAACCACGATGGATGCATGATGAATATGAGATCTGTACTCCGACATAGTGGTTCATGACTAGGCTAATAAAAGGAATCTCAACCAGCGACATATGGATCGAAGATAGACAAAGAATCAATATTTCGATTGAAACTCTGTCCTGAGAACCTAGAAAATTTTATCATTGAAGAGGTGTGCGTACAATAAAAATTTTCAATATTTTAAAACCTTATTAAATCGGTTTTGAATATCTTAATTATTATTGTACAATATCATACCTAGTAATGTAGAACTTAACTATAAAAGAAATATGCAAGATCTCGAACACCGCTTCTAAATACTTGAAACAAATGTGGAGATATGTGGCTACTGTAACCTCTTCGACAAATATCACTAATATGAAGAAATTTCATCATTATATACACACACACACACACATACACGTTTCTCATTTTCATTGGATGGACCTTCTTATGTCCATGTGTATCTATAGTAGTTCCTAATGATTTTAATTATGTGATCAAGTTGTTGATAATGACCTTTAACAAAAGCAAGACTTTAATTCTCAGATAATTGTTTATCCCTAAAGGATAATCTCAACATGTTCACGGAGAATTCGATCTCACCGGAAGGAGTTGCCCGTCCTGATCTGATCAAGAAGAGCAGGTAAAGATTTGCCGGATTTTAATTCGCAATCAAGATAGGAAATTCGCTCCAAGGGATAAATTTCATTCTCAATAAACTCATGTTCATTCATAATTTGTTCTAAATTCTTATTTTATTCATTTTTTTAAAATTTATATTCAATCATACATTCACCCATTAAATAATTTTACGTGTAAATAAAAAAAATCTTATTTTTCAATCACACATTCTTCAGAAAATTACTATTTTAAAATATATTTTATTACAAAAATAGGGCTTAAACAAGGCTCGGTGTATTATATTCAGTATCTATCTTAACACTGTCTTATCCCATTCTAATCTAAAAAAGTTTTACGTGTAAAGAGTTCAATCGAACGTTGATTGAGAACTATAAAACATATATAACCCCACTCAAATGATTCAAAAAGTCAATAATTACCATTGTTGTGCACCTATGATTAAGCTACAACACTTAATAAAGTTATCTAACAAAAGATAACATCTAAATTAAACTAGATATGTATATAACATGACAGTCGTATTTTCTTTCCTTTTTATGGGTAGATAATTTTTAAATAATTTTGCTTATTAAACTAGATATGTATATAAATGACAGTCGTATGCTTTTTCATATGAATTAATTCTTATAACAGAAGAATAACAAATAAATTGAGAAAAAGTCGCATAAATAATAAAGAAAAGTTTATGGGGCTTTTATCTGTGTTTTTAAAATCAAATTCGCCCGTCGACTCGTGATCAAATCTCATGCTTAGCTTGACCAAAGGGCTTGTGATTCTCATAGATTGAGTTGAGCTGTCCATGAGCTCACAATATCCCATGTCAACGAGCCTGCTTGGCTCATAAAAGGAAAAAAGTGAACTTAATTTGATCCATGACTCGTGACAAAATGAGCCCAAATTGCTCATGAGATGAGCTAGAACGAATCAAGCCCGTGAACCAGCAAACAATTCAATCAATTTCTCATCCCTAAACTTAACTCCAAACCCACGGATTTTAACGTTAAATCTTTACTATTTTACGGGTCGATGGACGTTGGGACCGAGCTGTGTGCACAAAATGACACATAGCTCGGTTCACAACACCCTCGTATTGGGTATCCACCTCAATAAAAAAATGACGCGACCCCACAGCACAATGACAGTGTTAAATCAGCCGAGTTCTGGTAAACCCATGACCCGTTCTCAGTTTAAGCGGTTCAACTTATGTAAATATATATTTTTTTAAAAATTTTAAATGTATATTCTTTTAATTTCTGTAACTGTATATTTTTTTAACATCGGTTCGATTTCGGTTCTACCCTGATTTACCCCTTAGACACTTTCTTTTTATCAGATCCATGATCGAGTCGATTTTTAAAACATTGGTTTTTATTGATTTTCACTTGACGAGCAGAGTCATGCAATCAATTTACATAAAGTCCTTCAAGCGACCTTGCAATTACTACAAGATTCAGGATCGACAAATATGAAATAAATCAATTTCAATTACTCTCACTATAAATAATTTTTTAAATAAATATTCTGAGAAGTTTTTATTATCAATTGTGTAATATTTCTACTAATTACATATTATAATTAACTCTGAAAATTTCAGTGTCTTAACAACAATCGAACTTACCTGTTAAACTAAAAATCAGAAATTAGTCTCGAATATGTTATAGGCCAAAACCAAAAATTAGAATCCATTAAAATAACCTAAAAATTGATGGTTGTCAGCCTTAAACGTGGCCGGTTTACCACTAAAATCAGTCAATTCACCTAAAATTTGAATTGTATTGTTCATCACTAGTTGCGATTATTGTCAGCTTAAGTGGTAGTGTGATTATCAATTTCATTGAACAATTAATCAGGAAGTCTATCGTCTCTTAAACCGTTAATGATCATAAATAATGATATACATCATTGCTCTATAAACGTTTAATACCAAATCAATTTTAAATTTAAGTATGACGCGGCTCGACCCTTGGACACAAAGCTCGACTCGTGATCAAATCTCATGCTTAGCTTGACCAAAGGGCTTGTGATTCTCATAGATTGAGTTGAGCTGTCCATGAGCTCCCAATATCCCATGTCAACGAGCCTGCTTGGCTCATAAAAGGAAAAAAGTGAACTTAATTTAATCCATGACTCGTGACAAAATGAGCCCAAATTGCTCATGAGATGAACTAGAACGAATCAAGCCCGTGAACCAGCAAACGATTCAATCAATTTCTCATTCCTAAACTTAATGCCAATCCCACGGATTTTAACGTTAAATCTTTACTATTTTACGGGTCGATGGACGATGCGACCGAGCTGTGTGCACAAAATGGCACATAGCTCGGTTCACAACACCCTCGTATTGGGTATCCACCTCAATAAAAAAATGACGCGACCCCACAGCACAATGATAGTGCTGTAGGTAGGTGTTGTACAAACAGCCTCATCCTTGGAGAACGGGTTAGTAGCTTTATATGGGAATTGGGCTACCAATGATCCTATGGACACCTGGGTGGAAGCTAATGTAGGTGTCAGAGGACAGGGATCCCAAGTCCCTAGATTTTAAATCAACGTTGGATAGAGATAGTACCATTCTAAAAGATTCTTATTTTCATCATTATTATTTTCATATGAATTGCTACTAGAAATTAATTGGCCAACCCTGCCACCTGTCCTCAATGCATTCATAATTATAATCAATACTAATTGATTAAGTAATTAGTCTCTTCAACTTACTTCTAATAATAATCTTAGTTAATAACATCTAATTAATGAACATTAAAGATTAACTTTCCTTTAGATTTGAATTTAGTAATAATTGAACCCTCTACAAGGTATAATAGCTTGAAATATTTGTTGAAAATGTTCGAGAAACAGTAATTATTCTGTTCTGTTTACTTGGATTTTGAATTTACTCGACAATTATAATGATTCCTACACGAGAAAGTAGTTAATGCATGATTTTAACTAGATCAAGCCTTATCTTGAACAAATCTATTAGTGAAATTCACTCAATATTAATTTTATGGTCATAACATCACCAAATATATGTCAAGAAATCAATAGTCTTTATTAATGTTCCAATCCTGTAGCCTATAGGATTATGCAATTTAGTATTTTTAGTATATGAACAAGACGAGGAGTAGATTTAGAAGTTGATTGATCCCTTGTCCCTTAGCTGGATGATATGTTGTCAATCATTCTTAATCCAATTTGAACTAGCTGGCAAAGGTCCCAATTCGTGATAGAGAATACGATGAGTGGAATTTTCTAATAGGATGATGAAATGCGTATGATAAAAGCACATTGCTGATTACAGTTGTCTCGCGCTCCTGAATATTTTTTAATTACCCACTTGTGTGATTTCGTTAGTAGACTTGATAATTCTTAATTGAGTAGTTGTAAATAGTCACAAGTTTATGGAATATACGTCGAACTCCTTGTCTCCTTCGTTCACATAGACAAATACAGTATTGTTCCTATTTTTATTTCATTTATACTAGCAGCATGACGCTTATATTACTCTTTGTTAAGTGCAAATTATAATTAGCAATTTCCTAAAACAAAATCAAGTGTGTATTAGGTGTTTATCAAGTTACAATCAAAGTTAAAATAATTAAGAATTGATAGTATAGGTTTTGGAAGAAGTCTAAGACATCAAAGATGTCCAAGAAAATCACATGTGATCAAAGGAATACAATTAGAAGTCTAAAATAAT